TAATAAAAGTCAATAAGTTTTCTTCTAGTTTAAAGCTGAAGAATCATTGAAAATGTTCTTTGATCTGAACTAAATTTTGCACTAGGAACTAATGAAATCCTAGTTAATAGAACTTAAAAATTAATTACAAAAATGCTAAAAATTATAGCACAAATCTAAGTATATAGTAGTGCAAAGTCTAACTAATCAATTGAATGCTTATTCAGTATTCTTGTACTATGACAACGAATTACTATTTATGTTCGGTGTGCATTAGATCCTCAGCCTATGACTAGTAAACTCGAACTCAGGTTATTGGGACTTACATACACCTAAACGAATCAGAATAATGTACAATATATGATTTATTTCATATTTCTATTAAATTAGAGTTAGCAGATAAATTATCCAAACATAAATTTATTAATGTTGTCGTAATTTATATATATATATAATTATCTTTTTATTAGGAAAATAAACGATTGAAAACAAAAATTAGTACAATTAATGATGATGAAGCAGCAGCAGCTGATGAAGATATTGCTAATTTTATGTCTTGTTTTGCAATCCTATCATCTCCATCACGAAATAATCGACGTATAATTCAATTTTTTTTTTAATTTCAAATAAAAACTATGTTTTTATCTTCTTTTAGTTGAATATCATCCGAATGATTCAACAATAAGCAATAATACAACAGCATTATCACGTTTAACACCTGGAGCTTATTCAAATTTACCAACCACACATAAAACAAATTCCATTGAAGATTCTTTATCACTTGATATAAGTCAACTTCGACAACAATATAAAAAACTTAAAGAACGTAATAAACAAGTACAAATTATTATTCAAAGTAAAGACCTCTTTTTTTTTTACGTTTAGTTTTTTTTTCTTTTAAACATAATTTTTATTTATTTAGCTGCTTCAAATGAACAAAAACAACGATCACGAGCACCATCAATGCATTCATCGTCAACAACAAATAATCCAGAAAATTTTCGCCGTCCAACAATATCTTCAATTGAATATTCTACATCGAAATTACCATCATCTGTTTGTTCTATATCAAGTGGTCCATTAGTAATTCAATGTTTTAGCATCGAAAATTTCTTTATCTTATTCATTTTTTTTTTCTCTCTCTCTCGTTTAGGTTAATCATTTATTAATAAAACCAACAGATATAAAACGAAATCAATTAAAGAAAACTGTTTCTATGAAATCTTCATCTTCGTCATTATCATCATCTATTCCTATACAAGATCGACAACCTAAAGTACTTCAAACAATTCAAACAGAATCAATTCCACAAGAAAAAATTCAACGTTCAAAAGAACAAGAAGCTGAAGAAGCAGCTGAATTACAACAAGAATTAGATCAACTATTAACAAGTCTTAATCTTGAAAAACCAATATCATCATCATCATTATCAAAAATAATATCTGATGAAAAAGAAAAATCAACAACGGATGACACAACACAACTTAAAAATGTTGCACAAACACTTTATAATTATGAAAAAACTCAAGTAACAACAAATGAAAAAAAAGAATCATCTAATATAATTGATCGTTTATTAACATCACGTTCTGTACAAATACCTAAATATTCATCATTTAATCCATTTCCTTCACGATCATTTAATGAAAATGTTGCTGTTAATGGTTATAAACTTGGATTATATGCACCTGATCCAACAAATCGCTAAAAAAGAAAAATAATATTGTCTTTCATATAAAAAGAAAAACAAAACCAGTATCATTCCGTTTGGCTGTGAATCTCTTTTTATTTTTAATTATATTACCTTATTTGTAAATTTTATTTTATTTTTCTTTCTGTCATGAAAAAAGGAAAGCAACGATGACAAATTCTTTTGCTTTTTTGTTATTGTTGTTGTTTTTGCAACTTATTATTCGTTTTATTGTTTGTTTTGTTTTTCATCTCTGGTTTTGGATCTCATCTATTTTTTATTTGGAATCTGATGATTTTCATTTGTTTTTTCTCTCTTGGCAATAAATCATTTATGATAATGTTATGACTTAAAATGACGCATTTGATAAACAGTGACTAAATTAAATATGGCGTAATATGTTTTATTTATCTTTTATAAGCTATATATATATGTAGATTTAATGTATCAGAACTATATCGTGTTCTGTCCTTTTTTTTTTCTTTGAATAAAAATCATTAAACTTTTGTGACTTTTAACAGAAAGAAGAAACGACGTAATTGTTTTCTGTAGTTAGTCATCAAACAGAATAAAACAACAAAGAAAATATCAACATTAATTAAAAAACTCGCTTTCTCCCAAAAAAAGAAAATGTACATAAGAAATATTCTACTTATTTCCTTTCTTCAAATAAAGTAACCTTAAAGTTTAATAATAAATATGTTATTTATCCTGATTTCAATCATCTAATATATCGTTTACATTACATGTCGTTTTTTTTTTTCATCTTGTGTATAGATGTATATGTTTAACAAATAGAATATAGACAAAAACAAAACAAGATTTTCTTCTTTATAGATGTATATATAAAATTCATTTGGGTTTTCGTAAAAGTAATAAAGTCATAGCAGCATCAACAACTTCTACACTAGGAATCGAAGTTATTGATGAATCATTTTTCGATTGTTGTTTTTTTCGTTTATGAGTATTATTTGATTCTTCTGATGAACCAAGACGATGTATAGTTTTATCACGTTTTGTATTATGTTTTAATAATGTTGGACAACTATTTTCATCATTAGTATTACGTGTTAATGTTAATCGTCGTTCTGAACATAAACGTTCATAGATGTCTATTGTATATTGCGTATATAATGATAATTGACGTGTATTCATTGTTAATAATGTATCAAGTAATAATTGACGTTTTAAACGATCTGTTGTCCATAATGGATAACGTAATTTAATTCCACTCACCGGATCTTTGATTATTTTAACAAAAAATGAGATTTGTTTTGTCATATGATAACGTATTTTACTTTTTAAACGTGCACTACGAATTAATTGTTCATCAGATGATATAGGATTTATTGTTTTTATTTGTTGTTGTTCAATATGACGTTCAATCCAATCACATATTTCATTTAATGTTAATGAACGTGTTTTAGATTCTTCAATAGCAAATAATATCCAAAAACATAATGCAGAATGTGGTGGTGAAACAATATCAGTTAAATTTGTTGTTGTTGGTACACGTTCACTTGAAGAATTTAATGATGATGAATCATTATCATGTTCACTATCAGATGAATCAATAAGACTTGATGGTGATGAATGATGATGACGAGGAATATCTTCTTTACTTGTCACATATGTTGGTAGACTTTGACTAAGTTTAGGTAAATGACGTACAGAATTTGATGATCGTTGATCGAATATATCTGATCGTGTTAACCATGATAATTCAGTAAGATCATGATCATTAGATAATTGTTGTTTGAAATTTGTTGGACTATGATGAGTTAACATTTGTCTAAAATTATCTTTCAATAATATATAAACATAGAAGACAAGTGCAAAACAACAAAAAAAAGAGAAAATACACAATAATGATATCATGTTTGTTTTTAAACAGATAGAATGATATCACTTTAAAAAAATAAAACATTTTTTCTTTATGACAAACATTTGTTGTGTAATAAATGAAAAAGAAAAAAAAAAAAGAGAATTTTTTATTTTTCGAAATATTTGACTCATTATATACGCAATATGATATTTCCTTCCGTTTGACATGTGGTCTAGATTCTTGCTGATTTTTTTATTGAATTTGTAATGTTCGATGGGAGAGACACAGAAAGAAAGGAAAAAGAAGTGTGACACTTACTTACGAAATGGAGAGAGCTTCTGTTTAAGTATGAATAAAATTAGCCTTTTTTTGATGACATCATGCTTTTTCTTTTTCTTTTATCTTGAATTTTTTTTTTTAGTTTTTTTTAATATTTTATCTGAAAATACAAATATACTACTAATGCGCAAGAGCGCTCACTCTTACATGCGTATGACGAATTTTCGCTGTTGTTGCTGATCTGTGCTGTCCGTCTGTCTATATGGCTGCCAAGTCAGAAAAAAAAATATAAGAGAGAAGAAAGACGTGAGAGAGAGAAGGTGCAGAATCAAGAAGTAGTGAGTGAGTAATGGTAGAAGCGTTATAAAGAAGGAGACAAAGACGAAAGAGAGACGAGAAGAAGAAAAGAAAATAAGAGAAACGGATTGAGTCTTTCTCGTAGAGTTAGTGATGAAGGTATGCGTGTGCCCGTCGAGAAGAAAGAAGAGATAGACGACGACGACGACAAGGGAATAGTAGTTGAGGGTGAGAGAACTATTGCTTAGCAACACGACATCTGTCTTCCAACCTTTTTCCTAGCATACGCGTATCTACATTTTATATACTTATTTACCTCGTGTCAGAAGAATGACTGATGAGCGCTAAATAAAAACAAGAAGGAAAAAAAAAAGGGGATATTGGCTTTCTCATTGATGAATGTTTAACAGACTGAGCAAATTGAGAAGCGAATAAAGTATAAAAAATATGAAAAAAGAAAATGTTCCTTATCAGAACTAATACAACAATCTGTCATTGAACTAAACAATCATAAAGAACATAATAAAATGTTAGAAAAATTAAAAGTAAACTTTATTTTAAATTAATTATTAATATTCATCATTAACTAGAGGCATTAAAATTGAAAATAAATCTTTGATTATTCATTAAAAAAAAAAAAGAAATAAATATCATTAGAAAAAAAAAAAGAAATCAATTTTTTTTTCTCGGAAATCAATAATATTCTGTTCATTTTGTCTTCGAATGATTTATTTCTTATTACATTGTATATTTATTTTTTAAATATCATATAAAAATAAATAATAAAATTATATCTAATAAAAAAATCTATCCTTCAATTTATTTTCGTCAACTTATGCCCTCTATAAAATAATATCTGTAATGGATTTCATTTGAAATGCCAATAATCTATTTTAAACTAAAAAGAAAAAATCCCCAAATGTTGGAAAAATGGATATTGAATTAACAAATGATTCTGAAAAATTAATTCAAATTCTTGGCGATCGTATTGAAGAAATCGAACGTACACTTCATGATGATGAAGATTTTTGTAATAAAGATATTGATGCAACATATCAAGCTGGTTTAAATTATTTAAAAAATTTTCAAGAAAAATTTCAAGAAAAATTAAATGAACTTAAAATAAAACTTGAACAAATACGTGAAGAAAATAAACAAATATCAAAACAAAATCAAAAACAATTTGATGATGAAATTGAAGAAATTAATCAATTATTTTCATTAGGAAAACATCAAGAAGGTTTAAAAACATACATACAAAAAAAAACACTTCGAAATGTCTTTTTTTTGTTTTTTAATTTCTAGCTGTAGAAAAATTTCAAGATTATGAAAAACGTTTTGAACAACGAAATACTCTTATTAATAATGTACCAAAATTATTTATGAAAAATATTGATATTCAACAATATTTTTCATTTGATAAACCATTAAGTATTCCTCAAACTTCAACAAATGATAATAAACGAAATTCATTCGATCATATTAAACCATTAATTAAAATACAATGTCATTCACAAAAACTTATTGAATCAGATTATATGAAATCTGAAGATGATGAAAATAGTGAAAGAGAACTTAAAAGGTAATACACACATTAAAAAAGAAAAAGAAACATATTGAAATTAATCATTTCTAAATTTTAATTCATCGACCTTTAGTCAATCGAAATGTTTGGATACTCAACGAAGTTTACCAAATAATTATTTTATGTATGATATTATTAATATTAAAATTTAAAATAAAAAAAAAAACAACTTATGTTTTATTTCTAGAAACAAAGAACCTAAATCTCCTTTATTAAATGCTATACCACGTCCTATACGTTTCAGTACACGATTACAACCATCACCATCACCTACAAGCAAGAGTCTATCAATGAATGAACAAGATTTAATTAATTCTTCATCAGTACAAAGTAGTATTTTAACTTCTCGTGGAAATATTCCTAATCATACACAAGTACGACAAGTACCATCTTCACCAAATATCAATTCATCATTATATCAACGTCAAATATCAACTACAAATATTGCCAAAGAAGAATTAACTCTTACTTTAGGTAATAATATGAGAAAAGAAAAGTATAGAAGTTAATAATTTATAAATAGGAGAATTTTAAAAAGATAAAAATTCTTTGAGAAAATTTAATATAAAAATTTTTTTGTTAAAAATATTTTATATATTGAAGAATATCAATCATGTCTTCACTAGGATTTAGTGTTAGATATTTTCCAAGATTAATTACATATTATTATGTAGAATTTGCTGAACATTTTAGTTTTCATTGCTCTATCCAAGATGACAGTCATTCTTGATGAAATACGATTAGAAAATGTTGAAATTGATCAAAATATTTTGAATTTTCGATCAATTCTTATATCTTTTTGTTATACGTCATTCAAAGCCACAATAATATCAGATAGAGCAATCAAGATTGGGATTTTGCTTTATAACAAATACATTACTTTCAAAGCGAAAAAGTCAAGTCTTGATAACATCCTTAATCTGATATAAGATGTTCCATTTCTACCGAAGACTTCTATGATGATAATACTACTCTCATACAAATAAGTATATTTAAATCTTCAGCTTATAATTCTAGACTTGATATATAGATATCCATAGCTTAGTATTAAGTAACTCTGACTATTTGAACAAAAACTCAATGTGTTATAATGATTTTTCAAGATAAGATATGTATGAGACTAAATTTAGGACCAATAATAAAATTTTCCTAGAACTGGAACTTGAATTCGACAACATTCAGTGTCTTTAATTCTGTGAGAGTTTTCAGGTGAAGTTTTTCGTGAATCATAAATCAATATGTTTTTGTCATACTAATACCTGAAATCGATACTAGAGTCAGGAATTTGAGAAAACTGCCGGGAGCGAAATTTAAGTCTACATTTAAATATTGTATGACTTTAATCGAATTTTCTCGTAAATTACAGAAATCAGAACATATTCAAGAAAAATGATCCGAAAAAACTGCTAATCATCGACTAAATAAATAAGAAAAACAATATTAAAGAATTATTTTAGATGTGATACGAATAGATTTTGCAATAGTTTTCTCTAGGTCGAAACCAAGAACTAGCAAGAAAACTAGCTGGAATCAGGACCAAAAAAATTGGTTCAACATATCTCATCCATTTTCCGTATTTCGATTACTATATGTGCTGTAGATCAGAGACTTAGTGTGCACATACTCTACCGAACTCTCAGACAAGAACTTACCTTTATTATTTAAATGAAACAACGATTACAATATACGGTTATGGATCGCATCTATTTATTCTTTTAACTTCATAACTCTGAAAAAAGAAGAACTTTATGAATGGACATCTGCTAGTCTCTTGCAAGTCATAACTCAGCAATGGTTTAGTGAATTAAACTGAAACTTGTACATAAGTGTTATCTATAGTTGCGCATTATTACCTACAAGTTTCATTAAAGAATCTTGCATTAAATGTGAGTGCCATCCAAAGAATCATATTGATACAGGATTCAAACAAAAAAATCTTCGATTAAATTACCTAATCTTTTGATTAAAAAACTAGTGCAAACAATGTTCTACTTGTATACTAAAATATCAAGTATTAGTCATGTACTGAATAATAGTCAATGAAAAATTTAATAGACTTTGTTTTTTTTTTCAAACCAAAAATTTGAAACAAAAATAAGTGTCCTTCATCATAATTCTTGTTGTATTTAAATATTCAAGACGATCTTGTACTTCTAAAGTATAGTTTTAGTGTAGTCTGTATACAAAAATTTTCATATTTCAAGCATGTATAGTAGTCAACATGCAGTAAGTGCAAAGACTTTTATTCATTCTTGTACTTGATAAAATGATTCTTAAGAAAATTTCAAATATATATATTAAACAAATCGTTTTATGTTTCATTTTAGTTGTAAATTATGAACATGAGCGAAATACATCTGTAATCATGACATCTAATGAAGATTATATTATTCTTTTCCGAAGTCGTTCTAATCAATTACTACCCTGTTGTTTAAGTGCTATTGATCGTTCAAATTTACAAGAACAACGTTTAAATTGGCGTGATCATACAATTACTTCATTTGGTTTTATTAATAAAACTCATCTCTATATATTTACACAACGTAATTTTATAATATATTCAATAGAATCATATACACAAATTAATTCATGGTTATTATCAAATAATAATGATAATAATTCTGAATTAAATGATCATGAATATTCTATTGGTAATGTATATGATAAATATATATATTATATTGATTTAAATAATAAAAATCAATGGATATTATCAATATTTGAATTTGAAACAATGAATCATTTATATGATTATAATTTAACAGAAAATTTTCCTCAAGTTAAACGTTTTATACATATTTGTATTAATAATAAATATATAAGTTATCTTGTTGAAATGGATGGTTTACAATATGCTGTTGTATTTTGTTCATATAAGAATCATTCTATAACAGCATTAAAAGAACAAATATCATTATATTATGCTGAAAAACCATTAACAATATGTTCAATATATATATATAATTTACAAAAATATATTTTTTTTATTAATGATCCATCAGCTAAAATAATTCATATAATAACAAATGAAAAATATTTAAAATCATATAAAAAAACAGCTCATGCTTTTAATTATATAGATGAAAATCAAGAATTACTATTAGCATCAAATGATGGTATATATTCAATTAATATTAATGAACAAACGAAATTTTTTTCAAAATTTCATTAGAATTTTTGTTTTTTGTTTTTTTTTTGTCAGATGTATTTTTTCATATTTTGTCTCATAATCATTTTTCTTTTTGTCGACATGTTATCTATTCTGTGATCTGTATATAACATTTGCTTTTTCTTTTTTTAACAATATAAAATAAAATATATAGAACAGGTTAACAAGTTTTTCTCTCTCTCTCTCTCAAAACATATATTATATGCGATCTTCTTTATTAAACTAGAAAAGATAGAATAATAGATTATAGTCGAGACCAGCATGTTTGAACTCATTGCACGGTAAAGGATTAAATAAGATCAAGGATATATCATATATGCCGAAAAAAAAATATCTATGGGAAACTAATCTTATTTAAATTTGATCTCAAATTAACAATACACATTCAGGTGTAAAGGTACTGATTGCACTTTCTCGAAAAGACAGAAAATAGTTTGAACAGATAATGAATATCTAAATATAAGATTTTGCTCCTAATATTTTTATCATTTTGATATAAATAAGAATATTTTATTAATGTGTATGAATATACATAAATGTAAATAAATATTATTCAATATGAAATTACAATGAATGATCGTATACATACAAATAGTTGTCAAAATAAATTTTGAAAGGATTTATATCATTAAAATGATGAAAATTAATTGAATAAAATCTCAAGAAGAATAATTTGAAAGATTCATTAAATCATCATACTAAAAAATTGAAATCAAATTGCCAATTCAATTTCAAATATATTTTTATATTAGATATAAATTGATATCAAAATGGCTATGATCAAAATCAATGAGATATAGTTGATATCTGAAATTTATTGTAATATTAAACATTGAATTCTTGTTAATTAGTAACATTATGTTCAAACAAAACTGGCCCGAGGCAACCATCAATATTGACAGGATGTAAAAGTTTTTTTTGTTTCTAAAAGAACCCATGAAAACTTTTCGACGCTGTTGGCGAAAAAACAAAAAGTGACCTTGATGGGGAAGTTGTGTCACATCTTCAAGACCTTCCTCAGTTAGACTATCCTTGTGTCCAAATAAATATATAATTTTCTATTGGAGTCAAAATGATAATTTGTTTTTCTTATAAAACCATTATTTCTATAGAAGCAGTGAATCCTTGTTTTTCTAAACCTGATATTTACAAATATTTTCAAGATCAAAATAATTTGCATTCTTTTCAAAATAGTGTTTTTCTTTTTTAATATTTCCTATTGTTATCAAAACAAAAAACTACAGAATAAAAATTAAATTATATTTATGGATTGTAATAGAATTGTTACTAAGCAAAGGAAACATTTTTGTTTTTATTTTTAATTCTATATAATTATAATCATTAATATCTAGTTGTAACAAATAAATGTTAAGAAAGATTTTCTAGTAGAAACAAAGAACATAAACAACATATAAGACTACATTGTATACACAAAGAAAACATAGATAAATATATAGTTATGGTTTCCATGGTTTATCTGAAACATTACTTAAATTTGATCGTTCAGAAACATTTGACATACGTGAACATTGTTTTGATGCTTGAGTATGTGCACACGATAATCGTGTACCACTATCTTTTGGTAATAGATTTCTTTCAAGTTGTGTATTTAATGCTTCAATATCATGATTTGTAAATTGTTCTCGAATGTCGAATGCAATCATTGGACCTAGTGATGGTCGTGTTAGAGTAATAGCTGATTGACCTAATGGTGCTTCACTATGAAGTATATTCATTGATTGAGCACGTGTAAGTTTTTTTATTGATGTTGCTGATATACTTGATAATGTCCATGATAATGGACATTTACCGGTTATGAGACCATGGGGAAATTTTTTTGCAGCATATTTTAAACCTAGAAGAATGATTTCTTTGTTTTATTTTTATTGTTACTACTTTATTTAATAATAGAAAATTTCTAAATGTTTTCATTCGAGATTCTTGTATTAGGATGTTATAAGTATATTTAATTGTCACAAGAAAACAATATGATACATTCTGGTATGTAATTATTTATGCTAAAAACATAAAGTTACAATTATTACTCATATTGAGAAAATCAAGACATTATAACCTAATGATAGTATAAATACAAGCATTCTTATATTCAATACTTCCGGTTTTTTTTAATTGATGCGCAATGAACACTTTCTATAGATCATGTAGACATCAAAAACGCATTTTTTTTATTATAGAAATATTAATTTTCAGTACTCAATGAAAATATTGATGGGGAAGAATGAAATTCATGAGAAAAAAAAAACATTTTCGATGAAAAAATATATAACAAGATTCCTTATCCAAAATTTTTATCTGAAATGTTCTATTGTAAAAATAACCAAATGACACGCCATTCATTGGAATAGTTTTTTGTGCTGATTTCCAATAGGTGTTGATTTTTCTCTTAAAACACTACTGAGACAAACGCATATGGAAAAGCTTTCTTATCAATCTAGAAGTATCTACACATCTTTATGCTTATTGAGTAGATATGTTACACAGAAAAAAATCATTGTATGAAAGTTTCATTTTTTTTTAGAACTATACTAAATTGTACGCAACGACTAAACTGAACAAGTCTTTTTAGAAAATTCTGAATTGAGATAGCATAAATACTTTTTGTAAAAGGAAAAGTTTTTCATATAGAACAACAGAGCAAGAGCTCTACTTTCAGAGTTTACATAATATATTCCGTAGATCTTTTTACTTCAGTTAGAAAAAGATACTTCCCTCTAAAGTGACAGAAGTCTGGCAAGCTTTTTTTGATGTAGTATTTTCTGAGACCCTGTAAGAGCTAGAAAGTTTTTTTTTTTTGTAAAACAAAAAGTTGATCATTGACTTAAGTATATTCGACATTATTGAATTCACAAAAAAAATATCACTTTCAGTTTTTGCACTCAATGTCCCCGTTGTTGTCCATTATGTAATGGACAACATAAGTCTTTCTTCAATATACTTTTAAACATTGTTAATAGTAGGTTGTGAATATATTTAAGATAATATTATTTTCAACAGCGAGTAAAAATTCAATAGGAGTGTAAGTCATGACTGCACTGCGCAAACAAAATAAAAAGGACTTTTTTTTCCTCATTAATCTTCCTAAGTATTAAGTTTAAAAATAAATATGTAAGAAAGAATTTCTAAATTGGTTTTCGAAATCAATTCTTTGGTAACATAACTCATTAAAAGTAACTGACAAAATATTCTAGTCATAAGTTTTTACTAATAGTAAACTTACCTCCCGAAAGTAAGAAAATGTTGTTATAACCTCGTTGTACCATAATGGTTGCTGCACGTGGCGCGATACGCTCATCTTCATCATATAAAACAATAATTTTGCCTTTTTGATTTTTCTATAATTACATAATTATGAATAAGGAAGAAAAACAAAATCCGATTATGAGATAAAATAGGTCAAAAATAACAAATAGTTCTTCTTTTTTTATTTCTTGTTCTGCTGAACTGAATAACCTAATCCACTTGAAAACCATATGAAAAATTCAACACGAAAATTACATTTTTTAAAATGATTTTGTTAAGTATTTGACTAAGAACAAAAAAGAATTTGTAGGCGTTTTATTTTATTTTTTTCTTAATAGGAAAGAATTTTCAAAGCTATTAGATCAATTTCGATAAAAAAAAAATATATATATATGTATATTCCAGAATCCCTTCTTTTATTGCTATCAAAATAATACTGTCACTGAATAATTGCCAAGATTTTTTAAACAACATCTAAGATATTGGATATGTCAGAGGGATAACAAGTAAAATATCAGGTCACATCGATGAACTGTTTGTCTTGTCAAGTTTTTTTTTCCATTTTTTTTCTTTTTCTCTTTTCTTTGGGCTTATGTGAGAATAGAAGAAAAAGGACCTTTACTATCTATAATATAAATATATGAAACAAACACATTTCAATTAGTTATTATATTTTGACACATCGAGCAGTATAAATGGCTCTTATCATTTATAAACTCATATGCACTATTATTATTATTTTACAATTAAGACCGCTGAACTTAATTTATGTTCATGGAAATGTTGATGGTTATTGTAGACTTCAAAATCGTACTGTTGTTTTAAATATATGCAAAACTCCACCTCGTCTTATACTGCCTGTTTGTGAAGGCTTTTGTTCTAGTAGTACTCGATGGGAATTCAATTCTAATCGATTTGTACCTCGAACAAGTGCATGTACAGTAACTCAACATCGAACTGAGCAATTTATATGTCCTGATTCTACTCATACAGCCGTTGAAATAATGATACCACTCGCATGTTCTTGTAATAAACACTATTGTCGAAATTTTCATCCACATTCTTCATGATAATACATCTTTATACCAATGAACTGACAAAACTTAAACTAATTTGTTTTATCTTTGTTATTATATGTATAGATATATATATATTTGTTTATTGTGCCTCAGAGAGGTTCTTTATATTCTAATGTCTGTGACTAAATATATTAAATGATAAATAAGAAAATGAATTACATAGATAAGCAATTCTTTCGATTCATTATTGGTACAACGTGAAAGCATAGTAGCTGGATAATGATGAGCTAAATAAAAAAATAAAATAAGTGATTATGATTATAATTATAATTGAATTACCAGAAACAATATGATTAGTATTAAATTCATCTTTATCACGAAGATCAACAATTAAATAAGGACATTCTTCATATGCTAAATCAATTTGTTGATTATTGATATTTTTTGGTGTTGATGGTATGGTTGAAGAACGATTTGTACATTTATTGTATAAATCCATTTCACCAACACCACGAATAAGACTAAATTTTTTTTTTTTGTTTTTGGAAAAATTGATTTCTCTTTTCTTTTTAATTTATCATAATATATACCTTTGTAGAGTTGATCGTGATGTAGCAATACTTCTTTCACTATCTTGTGTTTGTGGTCGATTTGTGTCAGTTAATGTTCGTTGTGATGCATTTGAATCTATTGATATTAATATTTATTTTTTCTATCAATAAA